GAGAGAGCAGACAGCCCCGGAGGCCGTGCAAGATTTATGAATGTGCTTTGTTAATTGCATTAGTGGCTCTGCGGGAGGATCGTGGGTGCTTTGGCCTTAAACACGGCAAGTCCAACCGTGGCATCCGGAGAGGAGACAGGACTGGAGCAGCGTGTAGGAGCCGCCTGAGGTCCTGGGGCCACCCTCCTCCCCTCCCACCCGTTCAGGGAGTAGGATCCGCTGCCTGTGGCTTTGTTCCTCTGAGACATGGGGCCCTTGCTCCTTGGGAGCTGGCTGAGCATCTTCTCGCTGCACCTTTTTTTTTTTAAAAAAACAACAACACAGGAAGTGGCGGCCTTCAGGGATGGATGGGGCAGCTAGAGAGGGCGGACCTAAAGCTTCGAAGAAACTCTGAGGGCGTGGCTGCTGGGCGTGGGCCTAGGACAGTGATGGCGAACCTATGACACGCGTGTCAGAGGTGACATGCGAACTCATTTTTTTTATGCTTCTACAAGAGATCCACTTTATTTTTTTTATTTTTTATTTTGCTTAAAATATTACAAAAAGTATTACATATGTCTCCTTCTCCCCCCCCCCTTGACATTCCCCTGGCCTCCCCTACCCCCCAGTGTCTTATGTCCATTGGTTATGCTTATATGCATGCATACAAGTCATTAACTCATTTTTTTGGTTGATTTTTCTTTGTTAAATGGCATTTAAATATATCAAATAAATATCAAAAATATGTCTCTGTTTTACTATGGTTGCAAATATCAAAAAATTTCTATATGTGACACGGCACCAGAGTTAAGTTAGGGTTTTTCAAAATGCTGACATGCTGAGCTCAAAAAGTTCGCCATCACTGGCCTAGGAGCTCGTCCCAAGTCTAGGATTCGAATGAGCCCTTCAGAAGGTGGGCGCTTAGGCCGCCACGCCCATCTCACGTGGACCGCCCTCTTCCTCCACCCTCAGGGCCCTGCTGTGGTTGGGGGTGTGGGCTCTGCACCTGGGATGCCTGAAGGGGACCCCCCGCCCCCCAGTTCTGGCTCTGACAGTTTGGCGAGTTTGTCTCTGGGCCTTTGCTCCCTCAACTGCTAAAGGGAATAATAATAACGACACGTCTATGGTGCCGAAGGCAGTGACACCGGCATGGAAGCTTGTCATCAACATTAGGTACTGGAGCCTGACCCTGAGCAGCCTTTAGGGCCTCTCTGTGCCTCATGTGCCCCCAGAACCCTGGCTTCTCCCTAAGGGACTTTCCAGGGAACAGGGGAGACCAGAGCCAAGATGCAGGACTCAAGACGGTGCCCTCCCTGCTCCTGTCTCCCTGGTCTGTGAGCATCTGGGGTATGTGTGTCTTGCCCCACCCTCTGCCCGCTGTGCCCCCACCTGGGAGCTCTCTGCACAGCCCTGCCTGGCCCTGAGCTGGACATGGACACAGAGTGGCTATTTTTAGGCCCAGACAGAAGCAGCTGCTGTACAACCTCCTCTCGGAGCTCCCCTCTCCACAGGAGGGCCCAGCCTCCTGGGCGAGGCTGAGGAAGGGAGAGCTGAGATCCCAGCTCCAGCTCCTCCATCCTCACAGCCCCAGGGTGAGCTTCTCTCCGGCTGGTCCCCCTCCCCCAGCTCCTTTATCGCCAGAGGTTTAGCTGCCAAGCTGTAGAGGCTGCAAAGTGGGAGGAAGGAGGAGGAACAGAAGAGGCGGAGGAGGGAAGCCCGTGTCCTTAGGTAAGGTCCCCCCTGATCCTGGTCTCATTTAGAATTCTTCTGAGAGCTCAGATTGCAGACGCCCCGGGTCTGAGGCCAGCTGCACAGTGGCCCCTACTCCCAGCAGCCCTTCCTTAGTGTGTAAAGGAGCAAGTTTCCCCAGAAGGCTGTTGTGGGACACACCACGACATGTGTCAGGAGATCAGGACTGCCTTGATTTCCCCAAGACAATTCGTCTTCTAACAGGGCACAAAAAAGGTCCTTCAGCCTGGCCAGCACGGCTCAGTGGTTGAGCATCGACCTATGAACCTGGAGGTCGTGGTTTGATTCCCGCTCAGGGCATATGCCCGGGTTTCGGGCTTGATCCCTATGCCGGGGCGTATGGGCAGCGGCAGTTGATCAATGATTGTCTCTCATTGTTGAAGTTTCTATCTCTCTCTCCCTCTTCTCCCTTCCTCTCTGAAATCAATAAAAAATATTTTTTAAAAAGGTCCCTAAATGCAACGTTCAATTTTAAAACAATCTGTGCAGGTTTTGCATCAGGGTTCCCCTATTTTGTAATTCTCGTGATTTTTGGAGGCCACATAGGAGAAGGCCTGGGAAGAGAAGTCCTGTACAGATCAGTAAATGAGTCAGACTTTTATTTCGATAAGGAAACCTCCACCGGTGTCCAAATGGACAAGAACCGTGCCCTCGAGGAACTTACATTCCTGTTACAGAATACAGACTCACCAATCTGGGGAACAATAGTCCAACCCTTTCATGTCTGTGGCTGCTGCCGAGGCGCCTAGCAACCGATGGCGTGGATGCCTGGATTCCTGATGCTTTCGGCCGGGGATTCTCAACCTTTCCCAGGCGCTGCACCTGTTCAGAAACTGATTAACACTGTGAGCTTCTCTCTAGGAAAAACACACGTCCAGGGCACAGACACTCAAATATCTGCCTGCAATTGGAGGGGCTTACCCGCCCAGGACGCTGGCACATGGACCTTGGTCGTGGAGAGCTTGGCCTGCACTGACGCTATGTCACCGCCTTTCCCAGCAGGAGGTCTGCGGCTGTATTTTAATCACAGTCTCTATCAGCGCGGAGTAGGGGAAGCTGACCGCTTGGCCCGGACTGTCTGGCCTTCAGAAAAAACAAAAAAACAAAACCCAAGTCCTACCAAACCATGGAAAAAACCCATTTGCGAAAGCCCTAATATGTTATCATCTTGGTGCAGTCGCCAGGAACTCGGTGACCTCGGTCAAGTCTTTTCCTTCCTTTGCAGGGAACTCAACGTTCTTATTTGTGAAATGAAGGGGGGCTGGGACACTGAAGTAGAGCTGAGGTTCCTTCCAGCCCTGATGTGCCTTGAGTCTGTCATGGTGTCACATGGGTGAGTCCTCCTTAGGGGAAAGTTGGGGAGAGAGAGCCTCCAGGTGCTGCAGCCCTTAGAGGGGCCAGGCCCAGAGCCCTGGAGAGGAAACCTTCCCACTGCTGGCCTGAGCGGTGCTCCTGGCCACCCCCAGACCTCAGGCCTCCCTCTGGGGCATCATGCCACTGGCTCCCCCTGCAGCTGACTGCTCCTGGGATTTGGGATTAAGCATCTGCTCCCTGATTGAAGTAGAGGCTGCCTCCTCGGGCACAGGTTACAGTCTTAAAAATCACTGCTCTCTGGAGGGTGGCTCAGAGCAGCCCAAACCCCCAGAGATGCAGGGACAGCGGGCTCCTCTGTGCTGACAGGGGCCCTCTGGGGCAGCTGGGCCTGGGAGTGGGTGTGGGAGGGCTCTCTGCTCACGGGACCCACTACACACCTTTGGGAAGGGCTGTCCTTCCTGCCTGTCCTTCTCTGCTTGGGGGCACCTGCTTGGAAGGGTAGAGAAAAGTAGTCTGTCTGTCTTTGCCAGGTCCCGGTGAGCTGCAGCGTGGGGTGGTGGTTCCTTCCGAATGTCACCCTCCGCTTTGCTGCCAATGGCCCGGCCATGGCTTCCACACAAACCAGGGGGCCCTGGGCTGACTGGAGGACTGGACACTTCTGCCACCAAGTGACAAGATCTGCTAACTCCAAGTCCTTCTTTAGCGTCCACACCGCCTTTTCCTTCTTCCCTCCCAGGGCTGCCCCTGCCCCTCCAGGACAGAATTTAAATGTTATTTGCTACAAATGATCTGCTAAGGAGAGGAGTGGAGGGGAGGCCAGAGGTGGTGTGTTCACAGAGCCCTGGGCTCAGACACTCCACTAAGGAGAACAGAGAAGCATCAGAGGCGAGTGTGAGCGTGCAGCCCAGGCAGCGCCTCCTGCAGCTGGCGCTAGCTTTCTTTCCACGTGTCCTCACCATGTCGACACGCAGCCACACACTTGCACACCCATACACCAGCTGATGCTCACAGACCCAGCCGTAAACCCGTCTCGATCATGTTTTTCTTACCATCGCCTGGGAAAATGTATGCAGACCATGCTCATGTCTCCACACACACATCCTTCCCATCCGGCACATGCATGTGCCATCAGGATACACGCCACTGTCATAGCTCTATGAATTACCTTGCGCTCATGCGTGTACCCTTTCCTAAGTCACCCTTTACAACACGCGATGTGTGCACGTGCCGGAGACAGGCCTGCACATCCCATATGGACACACTGTGCCTCTCCTCACCCCGTGTTCGGTACACTACGCCTTCCTCAAACAGTGAGCCGGTGGGTGGTGGGTGGGGATTGCCTCCCCTAGTCCCTCTGGGCATCTCTTCTTTCGGGGTGACTACCCCAGGCAGTGTCTTGTAGGGGAAGGATTAGGACAGTGGGAGCCCAGGAGCCCAGGCTCTCGGCTCAGCCAGGTTCATAGTCAGTTATTTTGCTTATAATCTCACATGGCTTGTGCGGCTTCCAATAAACAGATGCTCATATCCAGCCTTAGTTTCCTCATCTGTAAGAGGGATTCAAATACCATCTGCTTTGTCTCAAGTCATGGCAACATGATGGGAACCAAACCTGATCGACAAGGAAGCGGCCTGAAGCCAGCAGTGTGCATGATGGCGTGGGCTCTCAGGGCAACTCGTTTGCCCTGTGAAGTCTGGGAGCCGGTGGAGGAAGGGGCAGCGTTTTCCTGGTGGGAGGTGGTCTGAGCGCTGGTCTTGCCCAGGGCCCCTGGTCCAGGGCCCAATGAGTCACAGTGGGAATTTCTCTCCCAGTCCCTCCTTTCTTCCTGCCCGTTCCACCCTCACCCTCACGTCTGTCTGTTCTGACACATCATGGCTGCAGAGCCACGGGCTTAGCAAGGGCTAAGAGGGCGTGGCACCGAGCCAAGCATCTGCCCTGCGCACGCACGCGGGCACACGTGGGCCCAGCTCCCGGTTCCTGAGGGCTTGCACCTGGAAGGCTCCTTGCGCCTGCGCCCCGAGGCCGTGCCAAGCAGCTAGAACAAGAGGCCCTGTGGTGTGGTGAGTTTCCCAGAACAGGCGGGGCTGGCTCTGGCATCTGTTCCACCCCAGCTCTGCACACGGCTGCCTGTGGTGTCCCCCCATAGCACCCCGACATCTAAGGTGGGAATGGGAAGGCCTGAAGATGCCAGGCCCCGGGATCTCAGTACTCCCAGCCACAGTGGCTAGGCTGGGGGAGCCTGCAGGAGGGGACGGGGGTGGGGGGTGGTGAGGAGCCGGGATGCTGGGGCCAATGCCAGCTTTGGAAGCAGGCCAGGAGCTGGGATCAAGCCTGCTTCTGTCCAGCAGCGAATGGGAGAGGTGAAGGGACCTTCTGTAGGGCCAGGAACAGTGGCAAGATTCAACTCACAGCTTTCTTGCTTTAGCTCAGCAGTAACAAACCCAGGGGAGTGCTGGTCTCCCAGTTACTCCTCCCTGGGCTGGTATTCGGAGAAGAAAGTTCAGTGGGACACCCCGGACGCATCCTTTGCAGATCATTAGAGCATTCTGGACGCGCTGTGGGTTGAGGGGGGCTGAGGCCGGGGTACCAGGAAACGGGGGTCCTGCCAGCTGGCTCAGGGGCCTTGGAAGCTCAGGGCTCCACTCAGTGAAACTGGGAAAGATCATGGATGTGGTAGCCCAGTGGTTCTCAACCTCCTGGCCCTTTAAATACAGGTCTTCATGTTGTGACCCAACCATAAAATGATTTTCGTTGCTCCTTCATCACTGTCATGTTGCTACTGTGATGAATCGTCATGTCAATATCTGATATGCAGGATGGTCTTAGGCGACCCCTATGAAAGGGTCGTTCTCCCAGAGGCAGAGCTGGTCTGGGGGCGGAGCCTGTCTCCTCCGCAAAGCCCCACCCCCTCCCGCCTGGAGCTCAGAGGGATGACGTCACCCAGACCGAGGCTGCAGCCGGGAGGGGCGCCTGCAGCGCAGGTTGAGAACCGCTGTGGTAGGCGAAGGCCCCGGGGAAGGTAAGCCCACCCCCTGCCCAGGCCCGGCTACCGCAGCGGGTGATGCTGCAGGACCCCTCCCTCCTCCAGCTCCGCGGGCACCGGGGTTGCCAGCGGGCGGGTCTGGAAGCGGTAGCCGGGGGTGGTCATTGTAGATATCTGCCAGTCAAGTTACAGATGATAGGATGTGACCTGCTCAAATTTGAAAAACTTTATAGGGCCATTTGAACCATTTTGATTATTAGCTCTGACTGGAGCTAAGCAGAAGAAACAAACCTTTGTCCTGGGGAATGG